TATATATATATATATCTTTGTGAATGCATTATGCATTTACAAACTAAGAAAGAGACTTAACGAACATTAGAATCAGATCGTGCCCAAATTTCCTCAACATTCAAATTGGAATATTAAATCTAATTATCGTTAAATATTCAACCGCAACATGAGTTTGTAATTCGATATCATCCGTCTTTAGCGATTGATGAATACGATACAAATGATTTATACATAGTTTAACATAAAATGTCGTATAAATGTTGTAATAATGAATTTCAATAGATATTTTTTATTTCATTCAAAATTCAAGGAAAAATAATCCAAGGACTATGATTAAATTTTCAATTAAATAGATACTTGTTGACGAAAGTTTATGAATTAAAGAATTATAGTTTCATCGAAATGGAAGGTTTATTATTAGACTGAGAATTAAGTTTGTCGGATGATGTAATTCGCGCAATTCTCTTCTGGGGAGTTTTGATCTCACTCCGTCACTAAATTTACTTGAGCAGTCAAATCTCAGGAGGACCAACTTTACCCAAATGTACAATAATATACATCCCTTAAAATAGTATTGTCTTACTCTGTCATATTCTCGCGCACACCTCAATTCGCGTTCGTTTCAATTTGTTTCAACGGATTGAAAAGCAAAAGGATAAGCAAAGAAAGGACTGTGATCGAAAAAGTATATCGAACAAATATTGCGCATTTCGAACGATTGATCGAGCCCAAGTTTGAGCATTAACGATTACTTATTCGACCCGTTCTATATATTATTCCAAAGCTCGATCTACTACACGTTTTATTCGCAACGTTAAAAAGTTTTATCGCACCGTTACGCAAGCCGCTTTACACAGTCGTGGTTTTAGAAAACTTTTGCAATTAACGCGAGAGGAGAGGTGTCGAGAGGAGAATGTTAATTTGACCGATAATGAGTTAGCAACGTCTTGACACTTACTTTGTTATATATACGTTTTGCCAAATTTTTTATTATAATATTTTACGAACGAAAATTTATACGCGAGTCATATGAAACGATGTGTAATTAGAATTAGAAATTTTCTCAATTCAGCAATTTATTTTCGAAATTTTGCCTCGCCATGATTTCTTCCGTGATGAACTGAATATCTGAATCCGAACTTTTCGCAATCTCTTCCGTTAAATATAGTTGTACGTGGTCTCGAGTGCTCTATCACCAAAGTCCTCCGATTTTGGTCCTCCTCAAAGATCGAGGTTACCCTTAGGAAGTTTTCGAAACAGGTGTTGGCGTTTTATCAAGTTTGGAGCATTGTTTCGAAAATACTTTGAACAACAATTACGGAAGCGGTGGAAATTTCTAGAATATACAAAGAGAGCGATAGAGTCATAGTCGAATATTACTTTCACGTATTCTATGGATGTAAGATGCAGTGTAACAAAATCGAGGGTCATGTTTTGGATTAAGAAATGGAAAAAATATTACCATGGAAAGAATGTTTGATCGTTTTCATCATATATAAGTCACATCTATATTTTATTTCTTGTTTCCTTTGAATTGAATTCTTTCTTATTATATACATTCTTTATTTCAATAAAATCATTTCATCAATTCCCTAATGATAATGTTATTGTAAATTATTACGATTAACGGAATTATCGAATCGTATCCATATTCTACGTATCTTGTAATCATTCTGTTTACGCATTGTATCGTTATATTTCTACAATTACATCTACACGTCAACTTATATTTACTCGATTATACCCGATTCACGTGAGGCAAATATATAATTGCTTTAACAATCAATATATAAATAAAATGCAAATAAATTAATTAGCGAACATACACGATAACAACAGCCAATCCTTATTATTCTTGCAACGCGTT